GGAATGCCTAAATCATGTCTGCCACTCGCCTCTCCTTTTCACAGGGTTTTTGATAAAATATACACAAGGAACAAGAGGGAAATAAGAATCAAGGCATCACTTTCTCATTATCTGACTTAGTGCCCCATTCCCTAAGGCTTTTCTGGAAAACAGGTTTAGTGCCTGTCGTTTAGATATAGGGCCAAAGAGAAGCCTTCAGTTGAACCCAAATCTGAATCTTGGAATAGTAGCAGCTTCTGGCGTGCCCTGCACTACACAAGTTCTAGGTAATGACTGGCATGTTCTGGCAGGAGAGAAGTGGCCGGGTCTGCTCTAAGGAGTTAGCCCCTGAGTCTGTTGCCTGCCTTGCCATGGAGAAAGTTAAAAGGAGAACACATGCATGCCCAGTTTCTGTTAAATTCGCGGCTCCTGCACACCAGTGGACACGGTGTGGTCGTCGTCCTGCCTTGTAACTGATCAGATTAGCCTCCTTGCCTGCCTTGGTCACAGCCACTAGGAAAGGGTGAGTAGAGAGGCAAGCAGAGGGACATTGAATATTGTCTGTCTCCCCCTCAGACATCTGTAACTTTTCAAAAAAAAAGTCATGCATTTAAAGTAAAATATCAGCCACAGTATCAGAATCTATCTGTATTTGCTTAGAGCTTGTTTAGTCCACGTAAGTGGGAGTGCTTACTGTCCCATTGAGCTGTCGTTAATGTAGGTGTGAGCATAGCTGAGGCAGAGGCCCTCTGATCGGCTTGGTATGTGGAGCCTGAGACCTTTCCATTTAGGAACTCCCGGCTTAAGAGATAGAGGCTGTTGGCCTGTCTTGAGCCTCTTAATTGGTAAGGTAAGAGCTTTTACTGGGGTGTTAGTATTTGCTTTGTGGAGTGCTGTTTGAAGAGACCCACTGCTGCTGTTTAAAGTTTCTAGATGAGTTGAAACAGAGGGCTGACCAGATGTTTTGGATGTTCATCATTCATGAAAACATCAGTAATTAAAAGGACTATTTCCCTAATAACTGTTGTGAGTTTTTATAGGGGATATTTCTTTAAGTGGGGCTATACTTGCCGATGAAAATTGTTCCTTTATCTCGTAAACCATTTAACAGTTGGTTCTTTTCATTCTCACAGGGAGCAAAGAAATGGTTCGAGTGATGCGGAAGAAGGGCATTGAGCATCATCCCAATTTTCGTGCAGTTAAACATGTCCCATTTGACCAGTTTATACAGCTGGTTGCCCATGCTGGTTGTATGATTGGGAACAGCAGCTGTGGGGTACGAGAGGTTGGAGCTTTTGGAACACCTGTGATCAACCTAGGAACACGTCAGATTGGAAGAGAAACAGGTATTTACCTTTGCTTATCTTTCAACTGACTAAGCTTAATACATTTGTATGAGTTATTATAAAGTATGCACGTATCACTGCCGGCATATGTGTTTATCAATAAGTGAGTGAATGAGGTTATTGACCAATTGTATGTAGCCTGAAACCTATAGGTAGCACACAATGATTACCAAATTTTTTATTGTCTTTGTAATATCAGAGCTAAGAGTTTCTTAGTTAATTATGGTCTTTGATGGCTGTGTTTAAGAGAATGTGGTTGAATGTGTTATATGAATGCCAGTCTTTCGTTTTCCTGTGCCCAGTAAAATGAAGAAGGGAATCAACAATAACTCTTACACTTTTGGTTTGAGTAGTGGGGGTATTCTTTCCTGATATGGAGTACCCTGAGGACAGCATAATTTGGGAGCGGGTAGAATTAAGAGTTCTCTAATGGCCATGTTAAGTTTGAGATGCCTATTAGATATGAGTGGAGATGGCAGGTTGGCAGCTATGTTGTTCCGGGGAGAGTTGAAGTTGAAGATACAAATTTTTTTTTTTTTTTCTGGTATGCGGGCCTCTCACTGTTGTGGCCTCTCCCGTTGCAGAGCACAGGCTCTGGACGCGCAGGCTCAGCGGCCATGGCTCACGGGCCCAGCCGCTCTGTGGCATGTGGGATCTTCCCGAACTGGGGCACAAACCCGTGTCCCCTGCATTGGCAGGCGGACTCTCAACCACTGCGCCACCAGGGAAGCCCGAAGATACAAATTTGAGAGTGATGGCGTATAGATGGTGTTTAGTTAGGATATCAGTTCAGCTGCTGTAACAGAGAGACCCAAAATAATAGTGTCTCAAATAAGTTAGATTTTCTTTGTTTCTCACTGGTAAGTCATCAGAGACTTAGCCTCCATCTATCTTCTTGATGGTTGCTCCAGCTCTTGCTGTCAAGTGCACATTTTAGCCACTGGGAAAGGAGGAGAGGGGAAGATGTCCTTCCCTCTAAAAGCACAACTTGGAAGTTGCAAGTATTTCTTCATACATCCTATCAGAATGTCGTCACTTGGCCACATCCAGCTGCAAGGGTAGCTGAAGAATACATAGACCCTATAGCTGGGTGATTAGATGCCAAGCTAAAAATTCTGCTACTGTACAAAGGATATTGAGGATAATGACGCACTCTGCCAGAAATGGTATTTAAAACCAAGGGATGAAATGAGATTACCCAGGGGGAACATGTAAATAAGGGAAGAGAATGGAGCCTAGGACCAAACTTTGGAGCCCTTCTGATGAGGAGGGAAGGGCCAGGAGGGAAGACTGAAAAGGAACTGCCAGAAAACCAGGAGTGTGATATTATTAAAGCCCAGAAAAGAAAGGGTTTCAAGGAGATGGTGTTGAATGATGCTGAGAGTTCAAATAAGATGTGAACATTGGATTTGGTACCAGGGTGTTCTATCAAAGGCAGTCTGTCCTGGGACTTCCCTGGTGGCGCAGTGGTTAAGAATCCACCTGCCAAGGCAGGGGACACGGGTTCGATCCCTGGTCCAGGAAGATCCCACGTGCCGCAGAGCAACTAAGCCCGTGCACCACAACTACTGAGCCTGTGCTCTAGAGCCCGCGAGCCACAACTACTGAGCCTGCATGCCACAACTGCTGAAGCCTGCATGCCTAGAGCCTGTGCTCCACAACGAGAAGCCACCACAATGAGAAGCCTGCACACTGCAATGAAGAGCAGCCCCCGCTCACCTCAACTAGAGAAAGCCCACGTGCAGCAACAAAGACCCAATGCAGCCAAAAATAAATAAATTTATTAAAAAAAAAGATTTCACTTAAAAAAAAAGGCAGTCTGTCCTTTCTGCCACCACACTTACACAAACACGTGCCCCTCTATCCTTTCCTTCTTACCTTCTTTACATTGGAGGGTGTGGGGTCACCCCTGCCTGTCCACTGCTCTGCCTTCTACCTGTGTTCTAAATCCCCACCCCTCTTGGCTTCTCAAGGACGTTTCTCTTCCGTGTATCTTTAGCCTCCTCGGCTTTTAAACATGCCTAAGTCTCTGGTATCTTCAAAACAAAACAGTACAAAACAACCTCTCCCCAGCCACCACCCTTCTGCTTTTCTCCTCTTCATAGCCAAGTCTATTGAAAAAACATGTCATTGTCACTGTATTTACTCTCTCAAATTGGTCAGAAAATGTATGGAAAGGAAGTGACTGCATCAACAGCTGACTGGCCAGTTGACTAACTGGCAACCTGGCCTGACCAGTGGATCCCACAACTGGCTGAGCAGATGGAAGGTAGGGCAGATGGAAAGAGTAGACATGCTGGATGAACAGATGAGTGGCAAGTGGACACTGGATTAATTACCTTATTTATTCCAATAAACAAACAAGAGCTTGATTTATTCTCTTTGGGAATAAAGGAACCTACGGCCCCTTAAGTATCTGATATATGGAGATCTTGCTGAGAGTGCCTTAAAAGGTATAAAGTAGAAAAGTTCATCTCTCTAATAGACTTGTTTGAAGCCTTCTGGGTTATAGGGCTACTTATGAGCACGACACACTGCTCATTTCTATATTCTTTGGTTTCTCCCACTTCCGAATCACTATACGGCACTGGATTTACCTAGGGGAGAATGTCCTTCATGTCCGGGATGCTGATACCCAAGACAAAATATTGCAAGCGCTGCACCTTCAGTTTGGTAAACAGTACCCTTGGTGAGTGTATGCTTTTAAAGTGATTTAAAACAGGAGCTGTTTTGGGCACCATTTTCAAGCTGTGTAGTCACCCTAATGGTGCTCTCATTCTACATCCTCAGAGGTCCCTATCTGCTGGTGAGACAGGGCTTGCTAATCTACCCCCCGTTACTCTACCAAGGGTTCCAGTGGAGAATAATTTGTCTCAGTTAATTAATATAGCACTTCTGCTAGGAACTACTGCTTTAGCCTATTTTGAATTTCTATAAGTATTAGAAAGTAATGTAACGATTTTCTTTAAAAATAGTATAGTTCAGCATTTTAATTTAGACTATCCTTTCTGTTTCAAATTAATCAGATTTTCCTTTATTTGAATCTTTTTTTCTGAAAATAATTTCTTCCCTACAAAAGTAAAGATGAAAACCAAAAAAGCAAAAGAAATTTTTTTTACTGTCCCAAACTATGATATATTCTGAAATTGGCTTAACAAAGATAATTTTTCTTTGATCTTACAGGCAATTTGTTAATGATATCTCAGGAGGAAATAGTTGTATTTCAATCAACAATGGTTTTAGATATTCTATTGATAATATGAAGGTATTTAGTTACAGTGTGGCTGAAGAGATCCAGATGTTGTTATTTTAAAAGAAGAAGCCCAAACTATTTATTACCCGAAATTTCAGATTCCAATAATACTATGTCCTCAATGTAATTTAATATGTACAAGAGAAACAATTTAATTGACTTTTTGGATATTGCAGTTCAAAGATATATGGGGATGGAAATGCTGTTCCGAGGATTTTGAAGTTTCTCAAATCTATTGATCTTCAAGAGCCACTACAAAAGAAATTCTGTTTTCCTCCTGTGAAGGATAACATCTCCCAAGATATTGACCATATTCTTGAAACTCTAAGTGCTTTGGCTGTTGATCTTGGTGGGACGAACCTCCGAGTTGCAATAGTCAGCATGAAGGTAAAATAACTCCTAAGGTTTTAACTTTATATCCCAAATGAGTAGTTGATTTTTAAAAAGTGTGATTGGAAGGTAGGACTAGAAACATACACAAGAGCTTGTAATCATTTGCCCACAGTATTGACTTTTGGTTCCATTACAATGTGTGTCTCACTATTTTACTAATCACTAACTTCTTTTTTTTTTTTTTTTTTTTCCCCTGGTACACGGGCCTCTCACTGTTGTGGCCTCTCCTGTTGCAGAGCACAGGCTCCGGACACGCAGGCTCAGCGGCCATGGCTCACAGGCCCAGCCACTCCGCAGCATGTGGGATCCTCCCGGACCAGGGCACGAACCCGTGTCCCCTGTATCGGCAGGCGGACTCTCAACCACTGCGCCACCAGGGAAGCCCTCACTAACATTTTAAAGAAGTAAAGTTCTCAGGGAATCCAAGTTAGTAGACTTGAGTTGACAATGGGAGACCCATTAGGCATCAGAGAGAGCATCTGCCACCCAGGAGACCTGAAGTTCTATACTTGGTAACAGCTTGGAGCATGGAGTATGTTGATTACTCTCACTACCCAGGGGAGGGTGTCTGCAAATGGTGAGGGGAATTGCTTCTCCTCTAGATCATGATTTTAGTTGCATACAGCATACCTTCAGTCTCTTAACCAAACCATCACCACAGTGTTGACAGAGCCTTTATAAAACACCAAACTGTCCATGTTAAAATGATCTCTGGGGCTTCCCTGGTGGTGCAGTGGTTGAGAGTCCGCCTGCCAATGCAGGGAACACGGGTTTGGGCCCTGGTCCGGGAAGATCCCACATGCCGCGGAGCGGCTGGGCCCGTGAGCCATGGCTGCTGAGCCTGCGCGTCCAGAGCCTGTGCTCCGCAACGGGAGAGGCCACAACAGTGAGAGGCCCACGTACCGCAAAAAAAAAAAAAAAAAAAAAAAGATCTCTGATGAATTAACAAGGAAGAATAAACCTAACAGAAAAATCTTTGTTTGAAGCATTGCAGATGTGTGAAGTTTCAGGAATCCATGAGAAATACAGAGGATTTTAAACACAAAGTTGTTTAGATCAAATAAAGAAAAGCAGAACAAAACATAATTTTATTTAGTGAAGACAAAGGCCTCCTTTATAAATACTCTTTAAAAAGTATTAATAGAAAAATATTTTCTTAACATAAAGATGATATATTCCATATCAATGGCGAACACCCTCTGTAGTGGCATTTCTAGAGGCATTCCTATTAAAATCAAGTGGGAAAGAAGGATGTTTTCTGCACCATTTAACATAATTCTCAAAGTTAGGAAGGGAGTAAAGCAAGGAACGAGCAAAAATGGCGATTGTGGACAGGGTAAAACAAAAAATATTATTTATAGACAATATGAATAAACCAACAAGCTTGTAGAATTAATAACACTTGAGTAAAATGGCTAGGTATTATGATAAATATATAAATATCAATAACTTTTTACTTATATGAAATTGTAGGTAAAGATTTTTTTCTGTAGGTGAGTATTTGTCAACACTGATTGCACATTAGTGTTACCTGGAAGCTTTAAAAGATATATGGATGCCTGGCTCCCACCCCAGACTAGTTAGATGCCAGTCTCTGGGGGTAGGGACTAGGCATTAATATTTGTTCAAAGCTGCCCAGGTGATTCTGATGCACAGTGAAGGCGGAGAAGCACAACTAGGTTTATTTTTAATGACAGTCATTAGTGACAGCTTTAACCCTTGTAAATGGATAAAATCCACTAATAACAGAAGAATGGAAAAAGTGATCCTATTTAGAACAACAGAACTTATAAAATAAAGTTTTCTGGTTTCCTAAACAAGAAAACTATGTGATCTATAAAAAGAAAATCTAAAAACTTTACTATAAAATATAAAGGCTTGAAAAATATCCTGGTTAGGAGTGCTGAGTATTTTTTTAAATGTCAGCACTTTCCAAATTGAATTATGAGTTTAACGTAATTCTAGTCAATATTTCAGTGAGGTTTTTAAAAGTTTAACCACATTATTCTGAAATTTACTTAAAATAATACACAAGTGAGAAGAGCAAAGAAATTTAAAAACAAGAATAATTAGAAGGGACTGTCCCCGATTGGTATTAAAACATATCACCAAGCACAGTAATTTAAACATCATTGTTCCATATCATTATTGACTTCAGTTATGGCAGATGATTAAAGCTTAATGACTTAGGATATTTATTTAGTTGCTTCAGTATTTAAACAAGGAAATTTTGTCAGCCTGAAAGAGTTAAAAATGACCTTTTAATGACGATTCAGATTAGCCAGCACTCACCTTATGTTTAAGAGAGGGCCCATCTGGTTGGCTGTGGAGTTGTCATTGCTTCAACGGCCATATGCTAGGTTGTCTTCCCAGGAAACTACCTGAGTGTATCCCAGGGCTGGCCCAAGCCAGACAGTGGATCCCTTCCCCAGCAGTCATCTGACTCTGCAGTACTGTCCTAGAGTAATGTCTGATTTATCGTGGAAAAAGGTCAGAGATTCACTGTATGCTCCTGAGCTGAGACCCATGAGACAGATCTGTTTTTTCTCTTTTAGGGTGAAATAGTTAAGAAGTATACTCAGTTCAATCCTAAAACCTATGAAGAGAGGATTAATTTAATCCTACAGATGTGTGTAGAAGCTGCAGCAGAAGCTGTAAAACTGAACTGCAGAATTTTGGGAGTAGGTGAGATTGTAAATTACATACCTAAGCAATGTTCATTTTAATGTAGTTTGCTGAGTTCTGATGCATGATGGAACATCAGGTCACTGTCTGCCCTGTGTGTAGATGGCTCCAGGTCCTGTCTGTGGGCCCCAAGCATGGGGCCTTCCTGGGACCCCAACAAACATTGTGAGAGAAGCATTGATGGAACTGTCAATGTATGGGGAGCCACAGATTTAGCTCAGAACTGCCTTACATTTCCTCGCAGTCCTTGGTAATGTTTGTTTTAGGAGATCTTGGGTGAATTAATTTGTGTTCCAAGCCCAGGAAGTCAGCACACTTTTCTGAGATTGCTCATCAGAATCATTTTCCTTGTGTTTGTGGTGGAGCTCAGGCATATCCACAGGTGGCCGTGTAAATCCTCGGGAAGGAATTGTGCTGCATTCAACCAAACTGATTCAAGAGTGGAACTCTGTGGATCTCAGGACCCCCCTGTCTGACACTTTGCATCTCCCCGTATGGGTAGACAATGATGGCAACTGTGCTGCCCTGGCAGAAAGGAAATTTGGCCAAGGAAAGGGCCTTGAAAACTTTGTGACGCTTATCACAGGCACAGGTAAGAGTAGTAGAGACGGCTGCTTCAGGAGCTAGGGTGTGTGCTGGGGCACGTGCCTTTACCACTCAGCCAGGCAGTTTACAAGTCAGCTTTCACCTTCACTTCCTGCTTGAGTAGAGCCTGAAGGTGAGAGTGAGGGCCCACCCAGGTCTTTTCTGAGCATGTGCCCCGTACTGTGCATGCTTGTGGCCTTCTAAATTCCCAGAAATCGTCCGAGCTATTCAAAGCCCTTATTCCCCAAAGCTTCTCATTGCTCATTCCCCAGGATTTCCTCCTACTCTCTTTGGTTAGTATATTGTTTGTCACAACTGTTGTCCATTGCCCTAGGCAGTAGAGACTAATAACTATATTTTGCCTTTAAATGTTTTTGATGAGTGCCCCCTGGATAGCCCCCTCAGCCCTGGGAAAGTTCTGGGGTAGGTGAGATAAAGGCAAGCCCTTTGAGCTGGTCCTCCGGGAGCCACCAAGTAGGTCAAAACAAACCACCACAATTTTTTGAGAAGGTTCATTCTGCTCTCTCCAGTATTGCCATCTGTACTGGCAATGTAGGCTATTATTCTAGGCCATCATCAAGCTGGGGGGTGAGGGGTGGGCGTGATGGGACCAGAAAATGCCAGAAATCGCTTAGTAAGATTCAGCTGTTTTTTTCTTGATTAATTGTTCCCGGTTGTTGTAAAGTTTTGGTTAGTTTCCAGAGTTCCAAAAAACTCGATTCTGACAGTTTTTGCCAGTTTGTTCATTGCTTTAGTGGAGGGATGGGCTTTTGGAGTTCCCTACTCTGCCACTTTTGCTGATGTCCCAATTTGTTTGTTTGTTTTTTTTGTTGTGTTTTGCGGTACGCGGGCCTCTCACTGTTGTGGCCTCTCCTGTTGTGGAGCACAGGCTCCGGACGTGCAGGCTCAGCGGCCATGGCTCACGGGCCCAGCCGCTCCCTGGCATGTGGGATCTTCCCGGACCGGGGCACAAACCCGTGTCCCCTGCATCGGCAGGCGGACTCTCAACCACTGCGCCACCAGGGAAGCCCCCAATTTTTTTTTTAAATGAGAAGACGGGCTCAGGTAGTCAGTGTTCAAGGCAGCACTTGGTCCCACATATGCCTAACTTCAAACCGTGCGTGCTCTTTTGTTTTTAACTAGGGTATAGCTGTTTTACAATGTTGTGTTAGTTTCTACTGTACAGTGGAGTTCTCTGCGCTATCCTAATATATATAAAACAGTGTGCTCTTAAACTCCACATTATATTACCTCCCTAATGCTGAGCTCATGCACTTCTCTTAGTCTCGGACACAGTTTTAGCAAGCTTGGATATCATTTCCTAGTTCAGAGCAGTAATAACCTGCAAATTAGAGGAGTGAGGGTTGATGAGTAGGTGCCACAAGAAGTAAGAGATGGCAGGACAACTCTAAAATGCAGACCCTATTAAAGCAAAACGCCCTTTACCCCTTACTAGCTCCTCACCTCCATAACAAAAAGTACTCATCGATATTCATAATTATTGAATCACAGATTTTTAGACATGGTGACATGGTGGCATTATGAAGAGGCAAAACCATGTTTCATATTCTCTGTTTAAGAAAGCAGGTGGGGGCTTCCCTGGTGGCGCTTCCCTGGTGGGCTTCCCTGGTGGACAGTGGGGGCTGAAATCTACCAGAACCTCCCAGAAAGCCTGCAGAATACTACCCAGAGTTGTCCACTTAATCTGCTGGCTCCTGTCTCTCCTTGGTTGACAGTTGCTTCTGGGCAACTGTGTTTGCATGGCTGCTAGGCTCTTACTTGAGTGTTGGAGAAGGCCTTGGTGAGAATCAAGTTGAAATCATAGTGAGCCAAGCAGATGCAACACAGGGCATTGGAGGATCAGCTAAAAATATTTCCATACAAAATGATTCCAGGTAAAGCTTTGGTACTTAGTAAGTTTCAGCTATCTAGGAAAGTAGGCACCATATAGAACCTCACATTCCAAAGCTTTGCTAAACAGAGGAGGCATTGCCATAGCAGTTTTCTGTTTCAGGTGCAGAGCCACTTCAGTGATGGTTGTCTCTCACTATAGGAATTGGCGGGGGGATCATCCATCAGCATGAACTGATCCATGGCAGCTCCTTCTGCGCTGCGGAGCTTGGCCACATTGTGGTGTCCCTGGATGGGCCTGACTGTTCCTGTGGAAGCCATGGGTGTATTGAAGCATATGCCTCTGGAATGGCCTTGCAGAGGGAAGCAAAAAAGCTACATGATGGTTGGTTTCTTTCACCTGAGGAATTAAATAGCCAAATGGTAGACAAGTACTTCAAAGTAGACATTCCAAAGAGAGCTGAACACTGACACCAGAACTTTTAACCTTTTCACTCCCTAGAGGAAAATCAGGGCTCCACATACTGCAGCTCAGAGTCTCCTTGGTCCTGACCCGTATTAATACCCTTCCTCTCTAGCACTGGGAGGGCTGGGGTCTTGAGCTCCAGGATAGCAGGGGAGATGTCTTTCATTTTTGCCTTCTCAGCCCCTAGCACAGGTTGGGTACTTAATAGAGATTTTAATGGAGAATTAAATGGATGAACATATTACAGTTTTTCAACTCTGAGAGGTTTATTTGAATTACACCTATTTCTGGACATGTTATAAATGTCAGGATGGTTTCTAGTCTAATTCAAGAGGGAGTCGTTTAATATCATTACATGGTGTGTCAAGTGCAATGAGAACGATGGCCAAGGAACATAGATGCATATAGGAAGGACACCAGTGTTCCCTCCCCGCCCTCTCCATATAGGGAAGGGAGCGTTAGGGTGCTGTCCTGGGAGTTGAGGGTCAAGAGGGTAAATAGAATTATTGAGGCAAGTTTGGATGAGCCAGGGAGCATTTCCAAGCATAGGAAACAGTGGTGTTGGTGCATAAGGGCAAGGCAGGGTATAATGTAGCAAGAGGTAAGCCAGGACCAGCAGCTAATGGAAAAACCACTGAAAAATTTTAGGGAAAAGACATAGATCCAAATTTTAGATTCTTCACACTTTTTTTTTCTAGCGGGAGAATGGTAGTTGAATGGAGGCTGGCTTTAAGGAGGACAGTTCTAGAGTGACTTCGAGTTTTCTGGGTGGACAACTTTGGGGGTGGGGACATGAGAGGAGGAACAGGGCTTGGCAGAAGCTGACGGTTGGGAACCAGTGGGACATGCCGGTGGGAGTGCGCAGGAGGCAGCTGGCTGCAGGGGTCTGATGCTCAGGAGAGGGAACAGGACTGGAGATCAGGATTTGGAATCATGGGCATTGAGGTGGCCATTAAAACTGTGAATGAGACTTGCAGTGAGATGAGAGTCCCGGGTGGAATCCTGTGAAATGTCAGCACTTGAGGGCAGGGAGGAAAACCAGGAAAGGGTAAAGTCACAGGAACCAAAAAGGGAGTGTTTCAGGGAGAGTAGTGGGTAGTGTCAAGTGCTGAGTAAGAGGAAACCGGAAAGTTCATTGGCTTTGACCCTGAGGAAGGACATCATTTGAAGCCCTGAAAACAGTGTTTATTTTTCAGTCTCATTTTTATCATCACCCCCCACTAAGGAACCTAAATGTTTAGACATTTTTTCCTAATCATTCAACCCCATGAAACTTTAATACCACAGATACACTGTTTATCTGTTGTTTGTTACTGTCTGTATAAGAAGAGTAAGAATTTTTTTGCCCACAAGAACCAGTTTTTGCCCCCATGGGGGAAAATGCGTATCTTAAAGAAGTTCAGTCAAGTGGGAGCAGAAGCCTAACTACCCTGAGTAGGAGCAGAAGTGAGGGTTGAGAACGCAGGAGGGGAAGGGTGGAGGAGCCCTTACAAAAAGGCCCCTGGGGAGGGAGGGAGAGATGAGCTGTGAAGCCCTGGTGGAGGGGCGAGAGAGAGGGAGAGCAGCGGGATGTGCGAACACAGACCTGTTTATAAGCAGGGGCAGAGGAGTAAGGGAGTTCTGCCTGGAGGCATCCTTTATCTGAGAGGTCAGAAATGGGGAAATCTCTTGGTAGCGGGAGCTGGGATAGACAGTCTGAGGAGATGAAGGCTGAGAAGGGCAATGAACGGGAATGGTAGAGAGTGGCCAGAGCAGCTGTGAGGAGGGCCCCTGGATGATAGGAGACCACCACTTGGTGTCTAGGTAACCGTCTGCTTGGTTGGGATTTTCTCCCATCAGAGCCCAAGTAATAGCAGATGAGGAAGGAGTCTGATCTGGGTTGGTGGCTGGCAGTGTGAGGGACAGAAAGTCAAGGACTACAGATAACTACAGAAATATCTACCACTGATTTAGCATTTACTCTGGCCAGCACTTAACTTGAGTACTTAAGTCCATTTTCTCATTTAATCCCTAAAGGAATCCTGCTAGGGTAGGTATCATTACCCCAGTCTTAGAAGAGAAACACGTGGAGGTGATACGACGCGGGCAGGGTAGTGCAGCCCGTGGTGGTAGAGCTGACAGCTGAACCCAGGTCTGTCCGTTTCTGAGGTGCTGTGCCTTCCCCTGCCACTGTGGGTCACTGGCAAATAATGCAGCCTTGCATCTGGGATAGATAAGGAAGAAGATGAATGCAGAGGAGTCCTGGTAATTTTGGGGAAGAAAACACTTCAAGATTGTTTAATATGGAAGGGGGAAGTGAAGGAGGCTCTGGTCAGAGTTGAGGATTTCCAGTTAGAGAAGTTCTGGATGATGTATAAGCAGGCAGCAAAGCCCTCTGGCAAATGTATATGGATATTTACAAATGATAAAAAGCTTTGCAAATGGGAAAAGAGATTATCATCTTCCCACTTGGGGGCTTGCCGCCCACAGGCATAATTATGAGCTTGGCCTTCCGAAGCTCGTGAATGACTGCTGCTCCTTCTCACCTCTGCTCAAACAGAAGACCAGCTGTTGGTGGAAGGGATGTCAGTGCCAAAAGACGAAGCTGTGGGCGCACTCCATCTCATCCAAGCTGCGAAACTTGGCAATGCAAAGGCCCAGAGCATCTTGAGAACAGGTGAGCACACGGGTCTGGGCAGCTCTGACAGCCCAGGGCTCTGGCAAATGCCCAGCCCTCAGGACCACTGCAGAGGTAATTTTCCTACTTACTGTTCAAGGTATTTGGCAGTGTTGCCTTTTTAAACAGGTTTTTGTTTTGTTTTACAACTATGAAAAAACTACTTGTTCATTTTCTGGAAATTTATAGAAATACAGGAGAGTAAGAAAAAGTATCTCTTTTTTTTTTTCTTGCGGTACGCGGGCCTCTCACTGTTGTGGCCTCTCCCGTTGCGGAGCACAGGCTCTGGACGCGCAGGCTCAGCAGCCATGGCTCACGGGCCCAGCCGCTCCGCGGCACGTGGGATCCTCCCGGACTGGGGCACGAACCCGCATCCCCTGCATCGGCAGGCGGACTCTCAACCACTGCGCCATCAGGGAAGCCCAGAAAAAGTATCTTTTAGTTTTACTGTTCAGAGATATCAACTATTAACATTTCCTTCCAGTCTTTTTTTTTTACATAGTTGAGATCATATAGTATAGTATATGTACAGTTTTATACCCAGCTCTTTTCAAAGTATCACTTAATCATTTTTTCATATTAAGGATAAATCATATAAACAGCTTTAAAAGTACTGCTTCCATGAGGTAGTGTGAACGAACTATTCCTGGCTGGTGCTCTTTTCCACCTTCCTCTTTGACTTTGGATTTGGCTCTCTCCCCGAAAACTTGTTTTTAATTTTTGTTTTCCTGTAGCTGGAACAGCGTTGGGTCTTGCGGTTGTGAACATCCTCCACACTATGAATCCTTCCCTTGTGATCCTCTCTGGAGTCCTAGCCAGTCACTATATCCACACTGTCAAAGATGTCATCCGCCAGCAAGCCTTGTCCTCGGTTCAGGACGTGGACGTGGTGGTTTCGGATTTGGTGGAACCTGCCTTGCTCGGCGCCGCCAGCATGGTTCTGGACTACACGACTCGCAGGATCTACTAGTCCTCCGAAGAGTGGACGTGGACCAAGATTCAAGACCTCTTTGGCAGAATCAGGTTGTCTTCTAGATGAGCATTTCTTAAAAGGCAAATTTGGTATTTCAGTTTATTTGGCAGGTGACTTTGGCAGTTTTTGCTTTTAGTCTCTTCCAGAGTCACTTTTCCCAGCCCGTTTTTGTAGATGCTGCTCCTTGTGGGGTCATTTCAGCTCAAACCTTGTCACAATCTTCTGTGCCAAAAGGAGCTACAGTAGTAGCCGAGGAAGCCTTAGGACTCTGCTTACTAGATGTACCACTTAGACCTGCAGGCTTTGCTTGGGGTGTGACCTTGATACTGGCGTTTGGATTATTAATCCTTCCTCCTAGTTCAGAACACAGAAAGGGATCCAGTCAGGGAACAGAAGGAAATCTCACCATGAAGGGCTTAAGTAAACCTTTTAAAAGCAGTTTTATTGAGGTATTTTTTAAAGTGCACAATTTGGTTGAGTTTTGACATATATATATATACCTATGAAACCATGGCCACGATCAGGACATCACGTGTACGTATCTCTCACCCCCAAACGTTACTTGTTGAAAGATGTTATTTGCTATTACTCTCTCAGAATCTTGAGCAACGTTAGATCAGGGATCTGAATTACAGTGGCCTTAGTGACCTTGTCCTTATCTTCTTAAGGCCAGCTGAGAAGCCACTAGGACTTACAGCCTCTGAAAGATTAACCATCCCAGAAGGATCGTTGCTACTGACAAGCAGACACCTCTCCCTTCAATAGCTTTTCATACTATGTTGAATATGACCCTGGAGTGTTGATTAAGGCAGTGTTTGTTGTGTGTCATACCTAGAACCCACATCTGTGAATCTGGATTCTGGCTAAATAAGATTCCACGCTCGAATTGGTTCTTGCTATTAATTTCAACCTGGAAGAAATACGGATAGCCACCATCTATTAAGTGCCTACTGTGTGCCAGGCTCTGAACTTGGTGCTTCATATGCATTATTCTAAATTCTCACAACCAGTAAGGTAGGTGTTTTAATTCCCATTTTATAGAACCCCAAACTAAGTCAAGTGGTGTGCCTAAAGCCGTGTGGCTAATGAGTCTTAAAGACAGGGTTTGACCTGGGTCCCTCTGTGTTTTTTCTGCTAAGCCACACAAACCTCTCTTCATATCAAAAACTTCCAAAGTGCAAATATATTCTAATTTATTCCAGGCTACCAAGAGCTTTCACAAGAATATCTCATTAGCAAATGAATCGATTCATCCTTGACACTCTCTCTCAGTGGTGAATTTAATAAAATATTCCTGTATGCTGTGGAAATTTTGCCAGTACAGTATTTGGTCTAGTGACAGGTTTTTATGGGTACTTTTAGATGACCTAAAAAAGGACATGCATACGTTTTTCAGATTGTTTATTATTTTAGGAAAACCTGAAGGTTTCTACATTATTTCAGCGTTCACATATAAAATGAAGGATTCAAGTTTGCATTTGAATTACTTCCTTCCTGGTGGGTTAATGTGAAAAGATAGGTTGGCTGATTCTTAGAACTCTGTCAGCTCTGAAATAATCTCCAGGTCCTGGTTGATTCCTGGGAAGGAAGCTAGTTGGCTTGGCCATCAGTGTCTGGGCGGGTCGGTATACCGTGAAGGGGCATCAGCTGTTCTTTGACAAAACGTACAACCACTGTATACACCAGACAGTTGCACTGCTACCAAGTTTCATACCAAATATTTGGAAGGATGGTATTGAATCTAAAACCAAATCTTAGTTTTTATTAAATTCATGGAAAGGCTAATATATTCCAACATAATTATTACATATAGCTAAATGATCACATCTTATTTTATTTTAATGTAAATATTTTTATTTTACTGTTCTGAGCCAAATTCTAAAAAAATAAATGTATTTCCTTGTGGAAATCCTGCCATTTTTGTATTTTGTTTTGTTCTTAATTAACTCATTAGCTAAAAGCATTCCCCTTCCCAAAAGAGATTTGTTGTGTTCCTTACTTTCTGAAGGTCATATAACTTCTTTAAGGCATTTAATATTGATTTAATAAGCACCCCACCAAAAAACTTTAATAGAAAGCACTGTTATATAACTTTAAAATATATATATTGCAAAATGATCACCACACTGTCTAGCTAATATCATCACAACGAGTTTTTTTCCCTTGTTAAGATCTACTTTCATAGCAACTTTCGAATATGCCATATAGTATTAACAACTATAGTCGCCATGCTGTACATTACATCCCTATGACTTATAACTGGAAGTTTGTACCTTTTGACCCTCTTCACCCACTCCCCACCTCCCAACCCCCCACCTATGGCAACCACCAATCTGTTCTCTATGAGCTTGGTTTTGTTTTGTTTTTTTAACATTCTACATATAAGTGAGATCATACGGTATTTGTCTTTCTCAGTCTGATTTATTTCACTTAGCATAATGCCCTCAAGGTCTAGCCATGTTTCACAAATGGCAAGATTTCATTGTTTTTCTAATGGCTGAATACTCTTCTGTCATATAGATTTACACATTTATCCATTCATCCGTTGATGGACACTTAGGTTGTTTCCATTACCTTGGCTATGTAAATAATGCTGCATGTAAGAGTGCATATATCCTTTTGGGTTAATGTTTGTGTTTTCTTCAGATAAATACCCAGAACTGGAATTGCTGGATCATATGGGAGTTTCATTATAATTTTTTGAGGAACCTCCATACTGTTTTCTATAGTGGCTGCACCAGTTTACATTCCCACCAGCAGTGCACAAGGATTCCCTTTCTCCACCTCCTCTCCAACACTTGTCTTTTTGATAACAGCTGTTCTAAGAAATGTGAGGTAGTATCTCATTGTGGTTTTGATTTTCATTTTCCCTGGTGATTAGTGATGTTGAGCACCTTTTCATTTACCCATTGGCCAGCTGTTTGGCTTCTTTGGATAAATGTCTATTCAAATCCTCTTATTTTTAAATTGGATTGTTTTTATGCTATTGAGTTGTATGAATTCTTCACATATTTTGGATATGAACCCCTCACTGTATGTATGATTTGCAAATATTTTCTCCCTTTTAGTTGGTTGTCTTTTCATTTTGTCGATGGTTTCTTTTGCTGTGCAGAAGCTTTTTAGTTTGATGTAGTCCCAGTTATTTTTGCTCTTGTTGCCTTTGCTTTTGGCATCAAATCCAAAAAAATCATCACAAGACTGATGTCAGGGAGCTTATACTGCCTATGTCTTCTTCTAGGATTTTTATGGTTTCAGGCCTTATAGTCAGGTCTTTAATCCATTTTGAGTTTATTAATTTTTCCAATCCATGAGCTTGGGGTCTGTCTTTAGTTTCTTTCATCGGTGTCTGATACTTTTCAGTGTACAGTTTTTTCACCTCCTTGGTTATACTTATTCCTAGGTGTTTTATTCTTTTTGATGTAATTGTAAACGTGACTGTTTTCTTAATTTCTCTTTCTGATAGTTCGTTATTAGTGTACAGAAATGCAACAAATTTCTGTATACTAATTTTGTATCCTACAGCGTAATTCATTTATTAGTTATTAGTAACAGTTTTTTTGATGGAGTCTTTAGGGTTTTCTATATATAAAATCATGTCATCTGCAAATAGTGACAGTTTTATTTCTTCCTTTCCAACGTGGATGCCTTTTATTCTTTTCTTGCCTAAGCGCTCTGGCTAGGACTTCCAATACTATGTTGAATCCATTTAAAATTTGACATAAAAAGCAAAGTGGTCCCAAGAAAGAGGTCTGAAACTAAATACTGAGCACTCACTGAGTTTCTGAACCAACTCCTTCCTTTTTATGAAGCCCCATGTGAGTAATGTAGGCATTAGAAACAATCCAAAGCTACTACTGCTATGTAACAAACCACCTCAAAACTTAAGAGGCTTACACGGTAATCATTTTCTCTCATGGTTTCTGTGGGTCAGGAATTTTGGAAGGGCTCTACTTGGCAATTCTGACTCAGGGCATCAGGTGCACTTGCAGTTAGACAGTGGCTGGAGCTGGAATAGGAGGTTGGAGTGGGGCTAGCCATGCATTTCTCTTTGCTTGTAGTTTCCAGGTCTCTTCAAGTGGGCTGATTTGGGCTTCCTCATAGCATGGTGGCTTCAGGATTGTAGAACTTTTTACATGGTGGCTCAAGGACTACCAGCTTGTGTGTTCCAACAAACCAGCCGTAAGCTGTGTTGCCTTTTACAACCTAGCCTTGGATGCATATAGCATCACATTTGTCATATTATCCAGTAACCTCTTGATTTTGAGAAAGTCAGACTTTACTGACATCTGATTAACTGCCACATCCACCCTCCAGAAGCCCATCCTGTGTGGGAGGCAAGACAAGTCCAGATGACACCAAGACAATATCAAAAGGTAAGCTGTTGCACGTAGAGGGCCATGGGAGCTCAGGGGAAAGGAAAGGCATTATGGAGGTGGCCTTTCAGCTAGTTCTTAAACCAGATTTCAACATTTTCAAGGGCATTAGCAAGGCCCAGAAGCAACTAATGGTTGGTGAACAACAGCAAGTGATTGCTTGATTACAAGCAGAGGTGGCTAAAGGGGAGGACTAGCAAAGAGGCCAGAAATGCGGGCCAGATCAAGGAATGCCCAACTAAGACGCTTGGAGAGGGGAAGGTAGGCAGAAAAGTAAATGTTCCTCTCCCTTCCAGACATAATTACCATAGGAGACATGGTGGACTTTCCTTCTCGGCAATGGCAAGACCTACCCCTGCTCCACCTCCTGAATGTGGCATTACATCAATCTCCAACTTGGACTAGTGTCAGGTAACCATTAGTAGCAGATTTCTGAAATACGGCTTTATCAGTCACTTGAACCATCACCTATAATGTGACAGGTTCTGAGAGCAAATAATGAATGTGTTGATGCCTGAATGGCACACAGTCTCCTACAGGCATCTATTGTGTGGATCAGTGTGGTCCAGAACATTCTATGATGATGTAAATGTTCTATAATCTGCCCTGTGCAATCCGAATGCTACCTAACTACATGTGGCCACAGAGTATATGAAATGGAGCTAGGGGCTAGAATTGTATTTTTAATTCTGACTGACTTAAATAGCCACCTGTGGCTACTGTACTGGCCAGCAAGGTCTAGATGAAGGACTTGACAATAGAAATATTAGCAGAGTGCTAAGGATGG